ACATTGCAAAAAAAAAAAAATTAGTTTAGACTGGAGTGAGGTGAAACCAGAAAAAAAGTGCAAAGCAAGTTGTTATCTAGCAGCAATTTTTGTTATTTAATTTAAAAAAAAAAAAAGTATCTGGCAGCTAATTCTGTTAAATTTTACAGTATATGGTAGAAAATTAGACTTCAATAAACTTTTAAAATAAACTTTTTAATGCTCCGTTTTTATTCTACTTTTTGATATTGATATGATTATACCAAAACAATTATCACGTCCAGCAAAGAAGTATTTTTTTTTTAAAAAAGGGCAAGAAAGGATAAGTGTCTGTCGGCCACCACCGAAGACCAATTTTGACCAAGGAAAAAACCCTGGACATTATGGGGAAATGCAAGTTTTCGAAGATATTTCATTACTTTACTTGTCTCTATATACGCCACTACAGTTGCATCTTGAAGTCGTGATGGTATTAAAAAATATAGTGAAGGTATTAAAAGGTATTAAATTCATTTTAAGAATTTCTGTGTATACCCTGTATTAAATGAAAGATAAAATATGATAGAGCAATAGAATGAACAGTGACAGAAACAGAAGCATGCTTTTTAGCAGGATTAATTAAGCATGAAAATATCTGAAGGAAATATATATTTGATGAACAAATTAAGCCAACTAATATGATTTATATTCTTTTGGTTTATCTACTAATACATTTAAAAATTACAAATGCAGTGAAAATTCAGGGATCGGTTACGGTATCGATATCGGCGAGTACCAAAAATGAAAGTATTGGTATCCGTCTCGTTCTGCAAAAAGTGGTATCGTGCATCCCTAATTGAAAATATTTAACGGGTTCGCGTGAGGGAGGAGCAAAGCAGTGCCATATTTGAAGCACATTTAGAGATGTGATTAAATAAATTGCTGTTTTGGGATAGTAATTTCACTGCTTAAGTCTGTGTGTGTGAGAATGTGTGTTTGTGGGTAAGTGTGTGTGATGTGACACACTTTATTATTAATCTTTATTAAAGTTTATGGCTGTTAAGTGTCATTTGTTTTTAAGTGCCAAGGTTATTATTCACCTTATTAGGGCTAAGGGCTAACGTAATGGTTAGGATAACTCAAGGGCTAGGGTTAAAGGGGTCATATAATGCCATTTTTGTACAAGTTAATATGAATCTTTAGGGTCTAAATGAAAACTTTGTAATATACTTTTATCGAAAAGTCTCATTAGTATTTTAAGAAAACACTCATTTTACCAGCTCAAAAATAGCTCTGTTTTCAGCACGCCGTTTCAGTGCACAATCACATGCCTTTAAATGATAATGAGCTTTGGTCACCCCGCCCCTCTGCGTACACAGTTTTTAATAACACAATAACCATAACGCGTTGTTCATTATAAACGTGGGATTATGAATTATATTGAGAACATTGTAACGTTACATAGAATATATGTCGTGTTGGTAGTAAAAAATATTGTGGAGGTAGTAAAAAAGGTAGTAAAAGGTAGTAAATTCATCTCTATGATTCCTGCATAAACCCTGTAACACAAGTTTTCTTTCACACACAGTAAAAAATCTTACAGATCCCAAACTTTTGAACAGTAGTGTAGATCTATCACATATATATGTGATAGTATGGTATGTTTGAATCGTCTGTTATTGCTTAATTCATAATATTGTTCTGGCTCATGCTCACATGACAGCTACAATTTGAATAAGTAAGAGTCAAGTCCTATCATGAAATTGCAGATTTTTAAAAACTATTTGGTACATTTAGGTGAAATAAAGAAATTTTTAATTAATACAAGTTTATTTCAGTTCTGAACGCACACTGCAAATGTTTTATTTTATTATATTTTTTGGTTGCCACTACCTGACCTTTTTTAGGAGGGATAAGAATATGGTTTTAACTCTCATCATAAACTAAAATAACCAAACTGTCTTCGTACAGGACTGGATTAAGCACTCAGAAGAGGAGCGACAACCGAATTAAGCTGCAGTGTGTATGTGACCTGTATTCGTACAGGACAGGATTAAGCTCGTACAGGACGACTGACTCTGTCTTTACCCTGAGTTAGAGAAGTGAACTGATAGAGATTGAAAAAGAGCGGATTTTATTTTATTATTTTTAGTTGGTGCTGTGCTGTCAGAGGCGCTGTAAAGCTGGTAGGATTACTGAGGTAAATAAAGCGTGCTCTCATACAAAGCCCTGAAGCACAGCGTCAGGGACAAGGGCCACGATAAGACCCCTCCCCTACTTTAATTCTCTCCCGTTGTTTCATTTCTTATTTACATTACATACAGCCAGCTTTTCCCTTTTCCATGCCTCGGAGCACGATAACTGAACGAAAGAATTATGAAGGACATAAAAAATGAAGAGCAGGAAGGTGCAAAAGCAAGAAAGAGGCTTTGCAGCGCTGCTTAGCATTCTGTTTGGCAAACATGAGCTTGAAGATGTTTTCAAGCTCTCGTTTTTCTATCTGGCTTCTTGATTCGCTGAGGCCGTAGCTCATAAGCGGCTGCCAGAGGAGAAAGAGTGATTAGCCGCCTGGTCAATTGAGGTATTCACGTCAGTTGTTTTTTTGTTATTGTGGTTTTTATTTATTTGAATGTCCCCACAAATTTGTGTCTTGACGTTTGCTGGTCAAAAAGCTACATTGGAGCTAATTGAATTATTAGTGTGGGAGAGAGAAGCCTTTTTTGTTTATTTCTTGAAATACATAATTACACACTGTGCTCACAGTGTCAGATGGAGGATTCTGAGGATTTTATGCTGCAGCTAATTGAATTATCGTTCCAGTACATACAACTTTCTGTGATTATTAATGCCACTGCTGTTCTTATTGTTCTGCTGTGTTTGTGTGTGTGGCCAGGGCTGCTTGCTGCACCATCATGTCGTTCCTAACCTGTATGACAAAATTAGGCAGAATGACAGTCTTAGTCACAATTTACTTTCATTATATAGTAGAGATGCACTGATTGATCGGCTGGTGACCGGAATCGGCCGATTTTCACGTGATCGGCCATGATCGGCGACCGGCCGGTCAGTCTGACATGCCGATTTTATGCCGGTCAAATGCACTCTGGCGCCGCATGATTAACATCGCGCAACATCAGCATCACACGTGCACACGGAACACACATGTAGGAAACCTCGTGAATGAATTACGACCGTTTCACACCGCAAGCGTGAGCAGCGGGTTTTTTTTTTTTCGGCGTGCATGTTAATCAATGAGTGCATTCACACCGGGAGCCGGAGCAGCGGGTGAGCGTCAAGCAGGAGCGTCGCATGAGCAACAGTGAAGCGTGGGATTCAGCGCCGAGTCTGTTCTGCTCGCGCTCAATTAAAGTGAAAGCATACTTTTGATGGACAAAATAAATATGATTTCACCCCAAAAGTGCCTAAAATGCACAGAATTTGCACGTCTGGTGTGTTTTAACAAGAACTGAAGTAGCCAGGCTATGTCAGAAAAGAAAATTAAGACTCAAAAATATTTATAGAAAATAACTTGTTTTTATTCCCAATCGTTTCCCTGCACATGCTACACTTGTCCTGTTTAGCCTAGCTGGACATGTGTCAGAGAAAAACTGTTTGAGAAATATAACTTGCCATTGATGTACAAGTGATTGCAATAGGTGTGTGTGTGTGTGTGTTGAGAAATATATTCTGCAAGGGTAGGCTATATTTATTTTATTTTTATTTGTTATTTATATATTATTTTATTGCCATTACCTGTTTTCATACAGAAGTTTAGTTTGCTAAATATATCTTTTTTTTTTTGTTGGATATTGGATGTGAAAAGGAAATGGTTCTTCATAGCACTGCACTTTAGATGTGTGTGGATTTCCCACACCAGGAGTAATTTATATAGTCCTATTTTATAGCGATTATCTGTTAAAAAAATGTTCTATGCAAAATGTTCTATTAAAGAGAAGATAGAAAATAAATATTTGTGTGTGCTGTAAAGTGGTTTAAAAAAAGGAAATCGGAATCGGCTAAAATTGGTATCGGCAGGTCAAACTCAAGAAAAATCGGAAATCGGAATCGGCCTAGAAAATTGTAATCGGTGCTAGAGTTCTCAACGGGTCGGGTCGGCCCGACAAACCCGACGGGACCCGCGGGTTCGGGTCGAAAATATTTGCAAATGACTCGGGTCGGGTCGGACCTCGGGCTTAATCTTTTGAATTGTACAGTGAAAGAAAAAAAAAAACATTTATTATTCATCGCTGCTGTTCACTGTAGCTAAAGAAAGTCTGGCTGCTGCGTGCAACGTGCATCGCGACGCGAGGGCAGACCTGACGCCGCTGCCTGCACGCCTTTAGCCCGGAGAAGAAGATGGAGTTGGTGAAAAGTAAACTTGCTGCAGGTGAAATCACCGTTGCTCAGGGGCGGCGCGACACGTTGTGTGATTATCTCGGCAGTTTAGGACATCGCACAAGATTTGCGTCAATACAGAAAACATTTAATCACTGGATAGTTTTTTTCGTTTATTGAAATGTGGTTTATGTCAGCTGGATGGGCGGAATGTGTGAGACGTGAGAGTGCGCGCGCGCGCGTGCGGCCGGGACTCTCTCTCTCTCTGCGTCAAGCGCAGCAGTCATTCTACTCACCGATCAAAAGGGTGGCGTCGGGCCGCGGGTCGGGTTCGGGTAGATAATTCATGTTGATGTGTCGGGTTACATCAGGTCCGGGCTTTAAAAGCCACGGGCCGGGTCGGGTCGGGTTGTAATTTTCAGGCCCGTTGAGAACTCTAATCGGTGCATCTCTATTATATAGAATAGTTGCAGTTTAAAGTAAAAAATGACTCCTTTTAGGTTCCAATTATAGTTATACAGGTTTGAAACTACCGAAAGGTGATTAAATGCTGACACATGTATTTATAGATGAACTACTTCTTTAAAGTGTGAACCTCTTCTTAGTGACTTTAGCAACAATACGTGTGTATGTGCAACATTGTTTTCTAAAAAAAAAAGTTTTTGAATGCATTATAATCTCTCTCTCTCTTACTCTTGTTTTTCCAGTATAATTTTGTCGGGAGAATACTTGGCCCTCGTGGACTCACGGCAAAGCAACTGGAGGCAGAGACTGGCTGCAAGATCATGGTGAGAGGGAGGAGCTCCATGAGAGACAGAAAGAAGGTGAGATACACATAGAAACATTTGATTTTGAGATGAGATACAGATGTACATATACTGATATTATCAAAAAGAACATCTGTAAAAAGTTAACTACCACCTCATTTATACTGGGCCCATTTAAATAGTACTGTGCCCTAATTTAAACAAATCGACCCATGCTTCAAGGTGGTCCCCACAGCAGCAACCAGCACTGTTCAAATTAGCCTGTGTTGCATGTTGTTCTGATCTGCACTGTCCATTGGGCCATTTTCCATGCTGCATGGTTCAGTTTGGTTGTGCTATTCTGAGAAAAAATGGCACCACATAATCAAAAAGGTGGGGCACCAGCATGGCAATTGACACACCAGTAGGACATGTTGAACAAGCATGGACAAATGTGACCACAATTTGGAGCTTCCTCAACCACCTCTTCCTCTTTCACAGGCAGCGTTCTGCTGACGTTTGCCATTTGGAACCAGTTTGTCCTTAATGAGCCAATTCGCTCATTTGTCCTGTCCAATGTCTTTTTTTCTCTCTCCAGCACACACTCATGGTTAGCTCGCAGCACTCCGGCTGAGGCCCAGTTCTATTTCAGGCCTGGCTGTGGTGTGGGTGTCAGAGAGAACAAAAGCACATAGTAGACGCACTAGAAAGTAGGACCAGATCTTCCCCTTCAGTCTCAGAAGAGACCCACTGTGTGATCAGCAGAGGAAGAGCTAAAGCCTGAATGATGGAAAATTATGGCTTCAGGTGTGAGTTATGTTGCACAGAGACATAACAGTACTGCCCCGTCAGCTCTAGCGGAGACTTTCTCAAGAGGTTGGGCGAAATTATATTTGTACGTGTATCTGCTCAGCACTACATGCTGAAAAATCAGAAGAAATGGCTGATTCTGTAGTAAGCAACTGAGCTGATTTAATTCTAAAGTCTTGAACAACCCACAGAGACCTTTTTGCCAGGAATCAGCAACATTTGTCTTGTCTAGCCTTTTTTTTTGTATCTCTGTCAGCGTCCCAGTGGAGCTGTTTTATCAGGAAATCCCCATCACTGTGCATTAGCATTACCACACACACACACCTGGGCCCCAGCTGTGCTCCCCTCTGGAGAAGCCATGTGTGAACTAAAGGGCTTGATGCAGAAAAGGTTTAATCCTAGAAAGAAGTTATATTTCCTCTATTATAGTATTTCTGTTGTGGTTATGTCTTCAATTGCCCTGCTAAATGCTGTTGTCTGGATGACTAATCAACACAGAGATTGAGCTCTCCTGCTTCCTTACAGAGTTTCTCAGAATAGTCTCCTGACTGACTGTCATATCCTTTTCCACCAAAGTATTGCTGATTCTTGGCTGGGGTACCTATGAATCCCCTCCAGTCATCCCTTCCTTACAGTCAACTGCAAGCTCTCATTTAGATCTGCCTCTATAGAATCAACAATCAGTAGATAGAACCAAGTCCTGCCCTACATTTATTTATTTTTTGATCATTTGTTTAATGAAGATGTAGATCACAATACAGAAGAAAAGATCTGTCTCTGCTTCCATTTCATCACAACTTTAACATCCAGAATAATTGAATTTGAAATGGTTTTAGTGGCCAGATAGTTAGAACAGAACAGTTAGAACAAGGTTTCAAATAAACCTTGATGGTGAAGAGAAAAATACTGTTCTAAAAATATGATCTAACATCGCTATTTTTCAGCTATTGTCCTGTGTATGTTTTCATGCTTTAATGTTTCAGTTGTGAACGAGAGACACGCACACTGGAACTGCTAATTGCGAGTATAGTTGGACCTATCTAAAGAGAGGGAGACGAGTCTGGGCTGAGGGGGTTGTTTATTTAGCGTCCATTAGAAAAGCTGTTTTTGTGCTCTCAATAATTTAAGTGCTGCTGCCTCTGGGGACAGAGAAGAGCAATGGAGATGTAGAGAAATGGATGGAAAGAGAAAGGAGTGGCTTATTCAAAGAGGTGCAGTGGGAGTCTTTCTCATAACACAAGGTTTGGTTCCAAGTCATTTGTGGGGATGCGACAGTGCAATGAGTTGTTTGTTAGTGATGTGTTTAATGTTTGCTCTGAAAAATAGAGGCATGGATCACCTGAAGTCTCAGGAGAAAACGATTCGTTAACCTTAAATCAGACTGACATTTTATTTAGCAGCTCCCCAAAGGTGGTTTAACCCCATTTACCCTCTCAAGAACTGCGTACACACCAGTTCACACAGCCTCAAGAGACACTACGTCCTCACGCTTGTTGTGTGTGGGTACTGAAGCTGAGCTCAAGCAGATGTAATGGGTGAGGACAGGACAGACAAACTCTGGATAATAACCTGTCCCTCTGTGTAGCCTTGTCCTCTGATCAAACGCTGTTCAAATTGAGGACTCTCAGAAACCACAGCATAGATCAAATGTAACAGACGGCCACCCTCACCGGAGCATCACAGAACCTCTCCAGAGAAACAAAATAGTCTCTCTAAAGCTTTTTTTCTCCTCTGTCCTTCCTCTCTTTTTAGTTTTTACTCTTTGAACTTCATTAAATTGAGTCTCCTTTCTTTTTCTTTTTTTACACCTGAATCACAGCACAAATTTATAATAGGAAATAGGTTCCTTAAAGTCGCAATATTGTGACAATATTGTCGTGAAAGTAGTTTTTTTTTCATATGACTTACAGATCTGTTAAACGGTTTATCAAAAAAGATGTAGTTCTATCCTGTGGATGTTGATTGTATTGAGGCAGATCTCAGGGGTTAATGCGAACTAAATGAGATGAGAACTTTTGATAAATTACAAGGTCATTAAAAATGAAGCATCCATGAATGAATTGTTTACAATAAGATGCATTTAGAAAATAATGGGGTGAAATTTTCATTTAAGTTTTAGAATTTACATTAATGCGATAGTTAAACAAAAACGCTTGCAAAACTTTATTAACAATTAACATTTGATGCACTAAACCTTTTATTTGCCAAAAAAAAAAAAACCTTTGCTTTTGGCATTTTCTTTTAGTTTGTGCATTTGTCTGAAAAAAAACATTTCTTAGGAATATCTTGTGTTAGTTTATAGGGGTGTGCAAAAAAATCACTTCACATTTGAATCGCGATTCAATCTTTACCGATTCAGAATCGATTCATAGAATTCCAAAAATCGATTCATATTTTTTTTAAAAAATTTTATGGCGTGCACGGGCGGAGTGGCAATCGGCTGAGTCGGGACTTTTACCGGTGGTCCGGTAGTGTTTCGAGGCCGCGAGGGCCGGTCTGATAAATAGTTACATTGCAAGTTCTTGCCGCCCGCTGGTCAAACTGTGCAGCCTCTCTGCTCAACCCGTGAATAAATGCATCGATCCGCAGATTGTTTGAGTTCTGTAGATCTTTTGCCAAGCGTGTCAGAGGTTACGGGTTCTAAACCGCACTCGTATAGTTTTTTCTCTCTCTCATCAAAACCGAATATGTTCATCACGTTTGTGTGCATTTTATTTTGAGATTTCACCGGAACCACACCGGCGATATGAAGCGCGCGCGTCCGAGTGAAGACTGCGCGAGCCACAAAGAACACTCACTCGTTCACTCATTCACTAATCCCTATATAGTGTATGGCATTTGAGTGCACTATATCTGCAAGGAGTAAACGAAATGAAGTGAGTGAATTCGGACACTGACGTTTACACTGTGCGTCGGAGAGTTGGAGCTGTCGCAGAAAAGGCTTCGTCACACGTACTGATAAAACTCCTTTTATCTTATGTTACTTACTTTATAAAATAATATTAACAACAATCACAATCATAATGACTTTATTTTGTAATTGTATATACCTCCGTGCCAGCTTTGTAGTTTCATCGACTGAAATTGTAACTCTCACGCTCACAGATGACGTGGTCGTCGAGCGCCCTCAGGCGACCGTTATTATATTCGAATGAATACGCTTCCTACAGATGATAACGGATATTTTTCAAATCATCCACCAATAATCAGGCCATGCTTAAAAATATTCTTGTTTGCCGTAACCCGACCGACCCTGTCAAATTAGGACCGACCCAATTATTTATCTTTTTCCCCTTTTAGTCCGACCGACTTGCCGGTTGTAAACTTGCATTAAGACCGACCGATTTTTTTTTTACTCTTCAAACAACTAATACAAATGCAATAAAATAATATACATTTATTATAGTAAGTATTGTGAATATAAATTGCGTAGGCTACGTTCTTTCTTTTAAATAAAAACCCGTGGCGTCATCTATTATGATTATGTTTACACCATTGGTTTACGCATGTCACACTATGGCCTGTGCGTTCGCTTCGTTTCATTCACTGTCAATGGTTCGCGCTCGGTGATGATGGCTGCGGCGCGGCTGCTTGTGAAATACGTCTGTATGAGCCTACATTTAGTCGCTCATTATTCGAAATTCTTAATGGTCAAATAGGGAATCGATGTTAACGGCCTTTTCTCGGAGCCCGTCCAGCTCGTCATGACATGCCCACCGCGAACGCGCGTCACACAGCAACTGCAGGCTCTGACAAACAAACACACATAAGTGTGGGAAGCCAAACACACCGAAAGGGGGACGAAACGGCGCGGTGTGTTACAGAGTTCGCGCTGCGCTGACTTGTAATCTGCGTGGCTCAATGGACCGAGACGCGCGAGCGCGACAGACTCGACAGCGCAGGAGAAGTGTTTGCTTGCGCCAGCCAATGGTCAGAGCGGCGCGAATTAATCTCACCAGCGCCGCGTTGACCAATAAAACAGCACATCCCATACCGAAATGTACTAAATTGCACAAAAGAAAATCGACCATTCCATAATATGTCAGGACTACTTAATCGGCCTATAGTTTCCTACAATGCGCCTAGCTATTTGACCACACTGATTTCCGTTAATAATAGCAGATGTTTATGGGTCAAATCTCTCACTCTCTCCCTGCAACTTTTTGTTACCCTCCTTTCCTGCCCCTAGACCAGAAAGGGGGCTTGTAACAGTATGGGTCAAATGTAAACGAATGGTGCCAAACGCGCTGTTTTATTGGTCGGCGCGG